TTTTATGCTGTCATATAGTAATGGTTCTGCTCTTTCTAAATGGATTTATATTGGATATTTGAAGGCTTGCTGCCTCTTGTGGTCAGTCTGTTTGAAGTATCTTCTTCAGTTTCCCTTCTCTTCTTAGTTCTTAGAGTTTTTGTTTTTGTTTTTCAGTAATATAAATAAGTTTTGCTGGCCACTATACATTCATCACTGTAAATTATTTATGGAGAAGGCCTTTATTTTTACTTCGTCCTTTCTCCTTATTCCCTTTTCCTCAGTTCTTCTGCAGTCACATTGTGCAAGTATTTCCCATATTATTCTGAAAACAATGTGTCTGGGTTCCACAAAACAGGAATACAAGATTATTTTGGTGTTATTACTGATCCTCACAGCAGGACGCTTAGTTGAGTTATGTGATGCTAAAGTAAAGAATTGCCCTTTGACATACAGCCCCCCTCCCACCCCTCAACCCTCCCCAGCTTGCTGCTGGATTTGGCCAGGCTAACTGGCATAAAAGATAAATTGGAGGGGACCAACAAGGTCATTGTTCTGGAACAAAAGCTTGGGCTTGGGTTGGACTGTGAATCAGAGTTAAGTGTTAATATCGTTTCATTCTGGAAAGCTTTTCTCATAAAATTATAGGCTAAGGTGGTATAAATAATGAGGTCTCTTGATCATGGGGTGGATATCTCGAATATCATCTACTTTATGAAGTCTTCATCGTTTGGGGTAGAACTGTCACAAATATTTAACTAGAAACACAGAATATTATCCTTTAGATTTGGGGAGCCATCCTTGACTGAAAAAGCTATTTGTAAGTTCAAGTCTGTGCATAGCCCAAATTCAAGATTGCTCAGTTCTGAGGTTCCCAGTATGTTACTCCCATCTGAAATATACTGAAATCTACTTATAATAAATTCAGATGTAATGAAAATCCACATTATAATAAAGTAAAATTAAAGCCTGTATCTGTTCAGTTCTTTCCAGTGGGTTTAATGGTGTTACTTTGTAAAGGACTTTCTCTCTGGAATGTAAGAGAGGTCTAGGAATAGAACGAAGAGCTGCTAAAACACCTCACCCACTCCCGCAGTCATAAGATGAGGGCAAAACCACTGGCAAAGTTCCTGGCAGCTCTGCGGTAAGGCAAATAAAGCATTTACTGCTACTCTTTCGGGTTCAAAAGTGAAAAGGAGAATTTGTTAGTATTCCTATGGCCAATAGAATGAAAAGTAGCTATTCTATGTCTTGTCTTTCTGAATAGAATAAAATTGTGCTGATAAAAAAGCCAACTCTGAAAGAAAAAACCCTAGGGAGGGTAAAAAGACTCTCACCCTGCTCCCCACCCCCAAGAAAAACCTAAGAGAGCTGAAGCTACAGGCCACATATATTATTAATACGTATGAGCTGTACTTATTAATTGTAATTGGATACAGGCAATGTAGCCATCCCTAATGCTTTTGGTGGTAGATTACTGCTTTCATTAGAAATTCCAGATAAATGGAAGTAGGTTGGAAGAAGAGATGCTCTAGGAAAGCCCAGGATAGGGACAGCCAGGATGACGACTGGCCTGGGAGCGGGACCTTACGCTGCAGGGAAACCTTTGATCTGGCCTTGCACTGGCGTTCCCTTAAACCTCTTTTGGGGAAAAAAATAACCTTATGTTCCAGCAGAATGGTCATATTACACATGCCCATTGCCATTGCCAGTAACGGCCCAGTCAAGTCAAGGAGCCAAGTCACGCCTTTCCCCCTGGCGAGGGGGAGGATGGCCACAGCTTAGGGGAAGATAGCAGCAGTGGGCACTGAAGCTTGTACTTGCTGGGGAAATGACAAGCACATGTCCTGTTCTTCATTTCCTCCTTCCCCATGCAGATGCAGCAACCTTGTTTCTGGAGTATATTGGGCTTACTTATACAGGACTACTGCTTTCTGACTTGCCGAGTCATTACATGAATTATATGTTGTTTTGACATTTTATTGCCTTTGCTACAGTATTACTGTGTCAAGAAGCTTATTTAAGTGTAATTGACAACTATGTGTTAGGTGATGTGGGATCAGATACACTCTAGAAGTTTCACAGGCAATAACCATGGTGTGTGTGGTTTTTTTTTAATAAGAGAGTAATCTTGTACTTAAGATGCTTAGCCCACATATATAAAATATGTAATGTAGTTATTATATAGCTACCCATGATGCAACTACAGATTTAAGTTGGGGAATTTTGTGACATTAGTGTTCCATTTCCATTTTAATAAGTGAAGTTAATGACCTAATGGCAATTCAATTGTTTCTCGCATTTTTGAAGTGTTACTAATTAAAGACGCATTTGAAACACAACAAATCAAAGTCTAACTAAAGCAAAAGCTGGACTCTCAACATATGGCATGCAAGAAGGGTGCAGAAATAAGGTAGCCAATTTGCTGCATACCCTCAATATTCGTGGTGTGCGCACAGCCAGTCTGCCAATATTTGATTTAGGAATATTTGCTTTCAGCAGCAACCCTAAGTTGAAGTCCTCACTTCTTTAATCCAGATCCTTGTCCTAGTCTTGCTTCAGGACAGTAGGAGGCCAGATCTCTCAGCAACTCTTCCTCCTCTAGAAGGTGTTGAGCAGGGGCATTTTAATTCAGCAAAGATGCAGCCCCAGGTATTTTCACTGTAGGACCGTGTGAGATAGAGAGAAAGCAAATGTTTGATTAATGCTTCTTTGTACCTACAAAATCATGGGAAAGAAAACTTTTCTGAGGCCATGAGTCTTTTGGGATGGTGGAGAAGACAGCGTTGAACATCAAATGTCCTCCTTTCACAGCTCATGAATCTTGCCTGGTAGATGTAAGCTATAGTGATCTAAGGCCACAAGGATTACCCTAACTAAATATTTTATTTTTACTGCATGTGGAACAGTGCTGGTCCAGAATAGCACTATGAGTGTTGTCATTTTCTTCATTTCTGTTCCTCCTTAATATTTTGTTACTGTGGTATTAGACCGTAAGCTGTGTCTTTACAGACCTTTCTTTTCATCATCTGCCTAATATAATAGTAACTAGCCAACTGTAATTTTGTCTATAATATTTTATTTGGTCTTACACAGTTTATACACTGTGTCTGGAAAAATGTTAAGTTTTCTTTAACATGGGTATGTCTCCTCTCCATTTAGTGAGGGTGTATTTTTTACCGTATTTCCTGCCTTGAGGATGTCTCCACTGCATCATGGCTGCATCATGGCATGTTAAAGCAGGGACAAACAGGCTTTAAAATTGGCAGTATTCTTCATAGTGGAAGAGAGCTTCCGGGTAGACTCAGACCAACTTCTCATAAAGTAAAGGGCAGGGGCAGGGGAAGACCAAACCGCTGCGCCAGAGGTGAGAAACGCAGCAGCAGAATACGGGCAGAGATGCAGTCCTTACGCGAAAGCGTGCTGATATCGCTGCCAGCCCTTCTCCCGTCCCTGTTGCCTGCATTTGTTGGCGTTTGGCTTCTGCCCTTGCAGTCTAGCCCTCCTGTTCTATTTCATACTGAGATACTCCGTAACAGAGGGGTAAATAGACCTCGGGCTTCTTGGGAAACAAGCAAAGCAATCAAAACCAGGGCGATGTGCACTGCAGCAGCTTCTTCTGTGTTCAGCAACTCACCACAAACACGTAACGCTGTTTGTTGTCGGCCTGATTTAAAGTTTTTATTTTCATGCTCTTACAGAGGAGAGTAACCTCAGGCATTGGGGAGGACAGTATTACTATGATGAATAATGAAAAACTGCTTGGTGTATAATTGGGCATTGATTCTTCCCTTGCCCTTCTGCATGAATTCATGCACCGTACTGCCCTCCATTTGCAAACTCGTACTGGAGAAAACATATCCCTCTTTAAAATGAGGCCCTCATTCTCATACTTCCTAAGGTGCTTTGCAGGAACAGAATATATTTAAATCCTTGTACTTCCAGAATTAACAGAGGTGGCAGGACTGTGTTTCAGAATGAGGGGCAGGAAGGGTGGAGCTAGTTTCTATGTGTTAAAGACTTCAGGACTGTGGGTGTGAGATGTGCAAAGACTGATCATTTGCAAAGGAGTTGAGAACTGTAGCTATTCTCCCAAAAGCAAAGGAGGCTTTCAGGCTGACTGAACCACTCTAACTGATCCCTCTTAATTCTTGATTTGGATCGTATATCTTACACTCCTCACCTTTTTCCTTTAAGAAATATAAGCGTACCCACCCTTATCCCCCAAATGAGCCCATCTGCTGTAGGAAGACTGTAGCTAAATAATAGCAATTATCCACCTTGGTGCATTACTCCAACTTTGCCTGTGGCTTTCCTTGGATCAGACTGAGTTGGATGGCTTAACAGCAATGGACGACAACAGACTAAAAAATTGCTTTGTGGAATGAGTCATTTAGATGAATATTTGTATGGCAGAGTTTATAGATTAAGAAAAGAAAAATTCATGTTTTTGAGATATTATAAATGTATTTTTAAAAACATAAAGTATATCCATATAAAGTATATAACACTTCTGTATTTATTTGTTTTTCTTTGCAGCAGAACAAATGCATCATTCTCCTATAAGCCAAAAAGCAATATCTTTCTTCTTCACTACATAATTCTTGATCTGAGTAGCAGGGAGCCTTATGAAACATTTTGAGCCAATGTTAATTTTATAAATTGTATTCCCTTTTCCACAATTCCCATGAAAAAGGTATTCCGGTAGATGAACACTCTTGGAAAATTTTAATAGGACCCTTGAAATCTCTTTGAATTCGGCTTCTTTAAAAAAATCTCTCTCTGACGGAAGCTGTGAAAGTACCAGAAATTCTTATGCCTTAGAGGCATTTTTTTATTCCATACATAATGGTGAAACTCCACTGTTATAATGTATGGACATTTAAATTATTCTCTTTGCTAGATTGAAGCTACTGCTTGGAAGTGAGTGAGTTGGGTTCTTTTTGTTTGTTTTGTGTGACTTTTGTTATTATTGTTCATCTTTTATATGATTTGTAGAGCTTTCTGTATTTGTCTTTCAGTCTTTTCCTGGCCCAAGTCTTGAAAGTGAAGATTTTAACATACCTCCTATAACTCCTCCGTCATTACCTGACCATTCACTGGTGCACTTGAATGAGATCGAGTCTGGATACCACTCGCTGTGTCATCCAATGAACCACAATGGCCTACTTCCGTTCCACCCACAAAACATGGATCTACCTGAAATTACAGTTTCCAACATGCTTGGCCAAGACGGCACACTGCTTTCAAATTCACTGTCTGTGGTAAGCATTTTCAGTCTTTCCTTTTGTGCTACTTTAAATTGAGAAAATGCAGATATACAAACCTGTTTGAAAGGCTGAGAGGGAGCCAGCACCCTTACCGCTGAAGTCATGGAGCGGGCCTGCTCTTGATCTTACTTCAGATTGGTGAAATCCTCCTCCCACTGGAGGCGGTATGAGTTTTACAGTTGAAATCCTCAAAGCAAGGATTTTGTCCACTGACTTGAGTAGAACTACTTCTGTTTTAGATGGCTGTAAATAATGATAAAAGGAGGCCCAGGACTGACTTGCGCTGGAGCAGGATTGCGGTCCAGATGGTTGATGTTCTGTGTTTTTCTTATGAGGCTCTTTCCATTCTAATTTGCATATACTGAGAGATGTACAAAAATTTAATATCTCCTTTCATGTTTACTGCACGTTTGGAAAACAGCAAATGTTATTTCTGATTCTAGGCCAAATCCTAGAGCCTTTTTACAGTTCCCAGTCCTTAGCCAGCCAGAATCCAAATGAAATGACTGGACGATTGGCTTATAAAGTCTGTCAGATAGTCATTATGGTTGTAATCTTGGGAAGCCTGATATTATAAATCATTTCTTTGAATGTTAAATTGCTTGCAACAACTGCAGAGCTCCTTTACATGTTAAATTTTCAAGTGGGCTCTACAAGTAATTAGTATACTTTTTGCACAGCTCCAGACAAGACTGTTTTACAGAAGAGGTCATTATTTTGCTTCGCTGTAGAATTCTAGACTGAAGAGTGAAAAATCCTGTCGCAGAGGATGGGGCTGCACCATTCAGAGTGTCAGCCTGGCGGGGTGTGTGTGTGTGTGGGGGGGGTGGTCACTGCACTTCAGACTGCGAGATGGGCTGGCCGCCCAAGAGCTACAGATCGAGAAAGCCAAAGTTAAGGATCTGCCATTCTAGAGACCCAAAGATCTCGGGTTTGTCACCAGGGGAATTAGACACCTAGGGAACTATGTCCCAGATGGGAGGCTCTGTGCTTAGGAACTGAGTTTGATTAGGCTTCCAGCTTCCTACCTCCTCATCACATTGCCTAAAATGAAATCAGGTCTGGGAGCCTGCGAGGGAAGCTGGGACAGAATATGAGGTTTGGGGGCTGAGGAGTCTAGGCTCAGCTCCCCGTTGACCCAAGAGCCAGGGGCTTGGAAGCCTTGGTGGCCAAGGAACTGATGTGAGCTGGCAGAAAACCAGTTAGTTTACAACAAAAATCTGCCTTGTCACAGGGCTTCATTGTAACTTCATTAAAATCAAACTGCCTTGATTTCAAGGAGCTCTTCATTCCCTCTGAGGATGTCCAACAAGCTGTACTGCAGGGGGGCTAGTCTTGGCTTCTTATGTGCTGCTTAGCTGTCATTGATTTACTAGGATGTTGCATGCTTTGTGTTTGAGGTCAGGGTCTGACCCTAGGGTTATGTTCAGTAAGGGGAGGAAAGGGGGAAGAGGCAGTTTTTCATACAGAAATGAAAATACATGTTATGGAAATACTTTGAATTTTGTTTGCATTTCTACAAAGCTGATGGCTTACAGTAAAGAACATGAGCTAAATCCTGTGTAGGGTTCTACGAATCAGAACTGTGAATGGCCTTGAAGAAGTAAGAGAAACCCTTGGCATTGCAGTAAAGACAAGCAGTATTTCATTGAATTGACCTCTTTTGAGGCATGATTATGGCTCAGAAACTATGCATTCTTTTAAGCTCTGATGTTCCACATTAACCTCTTGCAAAGAGCTCTGAACAAAGGGCCTTGAGAGTTAGTAGATCATCGCAGTGAATTATTGGATCAAGGGCAAATACAAAAAAAGCTGAATAATATAACTAGGCAATTTTGCGTTGGGACTTAGTGTAGATCGTAAAAAATCAAAATCAGAAGTCAAGGAAATATTCACAGGAGGAAGTAAAAAAGAACTAAATTTAAATAGTCATTTCTCAGGATTCATTCAATAAATAAAGCATGATCCTTGAAGCATCATGGGCTAAGACAACTGTTATCCCTAACTTGCATGCCCTTCACACACAAGAGGGCATCTTAACTAGCAGTACTTTCAACTGAAGCTGGCTTGTCTGTCAAGGAGATTAAGCTACCTCTCAGGCTAGCACAACTGGTAGGATGTTAACACCATGAATTTGCACAACTCAAATATTATTTTGCAGTATAGTTGCTCTGATTTGAATTTGCTGAGGAATTAACTTGAGGGAGATAATTTAAGTTAATTCCTCAGTGAATCCAATGACTTCTGCAGTGAACAGAGTGGTTCAATTGTCCTTTTGGCCTTCCATTGATGAAAAAAGACAGACGTTTTTGCAGAGTTAGCATTCTTTATTTAGCTTTGAAGCCAGTTCTCTATTCTTTATAATCCGGAACCTTTTTACTTTGTTTCTTCAGTATGACTGTTCTCTTACTTATTACTCATCTGTAGGTTTCTTTTTTACTGTCTCATCAAACTCTGATCAGTTTAACGAGTATGTGCTTAAATCACTTTTATATTGCCTCACATGGAAAATAATGTATAAGTTTCTCCAATCTATTTAAGCCCTTGGTTCCATATAATTTCTAGTATATCAACTATCACTTAACATATTTGGAAACCATGTGTCTTGCTTCATTTTTCAAGGCACTAATGAATATTTTTAGAAAAATTATTCTTAGAAGTTAATCTGTTGGCTGTTCTCCATCCCTAATTAATTTCACATCCTCAGCAAATTTTACATCTATTGGGTGAATTCTTTAGTGCAATGTGAATATTTTTGAATTTGATCTATTTATTTTTACTTTCAGCACCTTTCCTTTTAGCCAGTTCTTAACCCATGTTGCTATTATACCTGCCTTTTGTGTTAGAACTACTGAGTGGCTTTTGGTTGGGTTTTTCACAGACAATGCATTAATTAATGCCAGCCAAAGGGCAGAAAGGCACAATAAGCTCAAAAACAAAGTAGGAAAATAGTTTGTACAGTGATTGTAGCACTTCTATTTCATCTCAACTACCAGGTGTTTTCAGATGAGGATTTCCATGATTTTGGACAGAGTGAAGATTAAGGCTTTACCCCTCTTAAAAGTAGTCCTTCAAAACTCCCCCCGATATAACTCCTGGTTTTATACTGTATAGCGCTCCGTCCAAGCTTCAAATGAAATCCCTCTGAGTAAGGATTGCAGGATTTGCCCCAAGCTCTGTAAGAAGTGCTTAAACATACACAAGCAGAACCCAGCAGTAGCTTAGTGAATTCTTATTAGGAATCAGCTTCTTGCAGGTTTTTTATATTGTGGGAATTCTCTTTCTGAAAAATTTTACAATGCTGGGAAATGAAAATTTCCCGTTCGCCTTTACAGACTGACACTTAAATTTGGAATTAGCCTCCTTTGAAGTTTTTTAGATTGATTGAAGTTCTCATTGTACCCTCAGTATTGAAAGAAAAGGAAAAAAAGCAGTAAGATTTCTCTTTTTCAATATTCTGTCAGTTCATATATTGACTATTACATTCCTGTATTTTTTGTCTTCCCGTTAGGTGTCATACACGTGTCTCTCACACACACACACACACACACACACACACACACATGTACAGTGCTGTCATATGCAGATTTCTTTAGACGTTTCATTATATATGGTATTGTAGTGGATATTGGGGTTCAGAACCCTACAGAATTCATGACGAATCTGAGTGCGACAACATAGTCCAGCCGTGGAGTGGCGGTTTATGTGCGGGCACCTCTTAAGTCCTCTTTCCAAATGGACATAACTTCTATTCCTGCTTCTTCAATTGATTAGGTATAGATCTAGCTGCATAATAAAGGTGCACTGATAGCCCTGTAGTCATGTTTGTTTCTATATGATGAAAAAGGATCTTTTCCTCATATGTTACAGTTGAAGTAGGTCTGGTTCAGTTTCAGTTCGGCCTTGACCTGCTTGCACTTCTCTGTTTGCATAAATTTTCCTGAGATGTTCCAAGGACTGCCAGAAATACCCTTCCTACATTTGCAAATAAGTGCATCTGTATGTAATACCTGTGACAATGTGCATTTATCTGTAAAAATGTTTTTGGATGTGTTGTATAAAATGAGTTTTACTGCGTGTTCATTTCGTCAACAAAATTACAGATGCTCCAGGTTCTGTAGTATGTCCTACAGATGACTGTTTTTTTCCTCAAGAAACCATGGTTAAAAATCACAGGGCTGTTTTTTACAAAAACAAAAAAACACCCCGCCCCCCCCCCCCCCCCCCCAAAAAAAAAAAACAACTATTTTTGGAATGCTTTCATTTATAATCCTTGGGCTGATCATTTTGGAAAATGTGGTTCATGATGGTATACTATAGAAAAAATTATAAGAAAGAAAGAAAACAGATTTCAATTTCTCTGAATGCTTTAAATTTCTAGTTTCGGAGTTTAAAGTGGAAAAGAAGTTAAAAGGCAATAAAATCAGGGGATTTATTTCCCAAATGCTATATTTGTGCTGGCAACAAAACCCAGCATAATGTATATACTTTGGTTTATTGTCATTTTTAGTATACAGTCAAAGCACACTTTGAATTCAAAGGCTACTGTACAACTGTTTTGACAACCGCCACATCAGTAGGTAATGTGCAGGACATATGAAACTGAAGCAAAAATGTTTCTTTAGGTCTATGGGGAGTGCAGTACATCAATGAATTCAGATATAGTAGAGCAGCATGAATTTCTAATATGTTGCTGTTATGGAAAAGACCACTGGCATATTGAATAATGCTGCTTTCAAAGCGAAGCAGAAAATGTGATTGCAGACAATTTCATTGCTGTTTTTAAAATAAATATTTTCGAAATCTTGTGGTATTTTATTTCATGTAATGCGTAAAATATGTAACAGTGGACTAGAGCTAAAGATCTTCTAGGACACTGAAGAGTAGATGATGTCAGCTATAATTATTCAAATGTGGAATAATAGAAGCATTAGTTTAAAATAAAATGCATGTCACAAAGGCCCATGTCCTTATATAAAAAAGGCAATAAAAAG